ACATTTTGAAAGATGCTCATAGTCCCCTGGAACTAGTTGACCTAGGAGGGCAAGGAGCAAAAACTGTCCTTTATGTTCCTCTGACCAAATTAGTATAGGCCTCAAAGTATGTCTGTTAAACATCCAAGAAGGTGAGTTTCACCAGTCTGGTACTTTTTTTTTGGTCTTTTTGAGACAGGGTCTCTCTGTAGCTCCAGCTGTCCTGGAAATCACTATGTAGACCAGGCTGGCCCCCAACTCACAAAGAGCCACCTGCCTCTGCCTCCCGAGTGCTGGGATTAAGGTGTGCGCCACCATATTTCACCAGTCTTTTACTTTTAATTACTGTGTGTCATGTAGATAAATCTTGGACAAAGAACCAGTTGTTCTCAGATAAACCTTACCTAGACATACATTTCTTGATCTGCTATGTATAATTTGTTAGTAGGTTTAAATGCAACTACTTCTGAACTCTGTGGCTGTATCCTGGGGATCACACTCATCACATATTTTCTTTCCCTTTCTTCATGATATGCTTTCTTATCCTTTTGGAAGAAATCTTCATCTTCTGATCATTTCCCTAATTTCATAAGGTGAGTAATGTCACAGTATTTTGCAAACAGAAATACAAATATCTACTGCTGTCAAGACCAGAGTGAGAAGACTCACAAATTGGATTAGTAATTTCTTTTTGAACATTGTTAATTTTCCTTTTTTCAGGAATCTATTTGTGTTTAACATTTTGCTTATTTCTTGCTGAAAGGAAAAAGATTGTTCTCCCTGCTTCATCTGTGGTTAGCCTTTGGCTTCGACATCTTCCCAGCCTTGAGAGAGCAACCCTTCATCTTTTTGAAAAGCTGCTCTCCAGAGAGAGATGGTGCCTGTGCCTGCGAAGGATAGAGTGCTGCATAAAGGACTCATTACTGGTATGTGCTGGGTATGGCCAGAAGAAATCCTTAACTCCTGGGAAGAATTTCAAAGGAAGGATTTTAAAGAGCAACAAAGGGAAAAATATAAACAACAGCATGGGAGCATTTCAGCTAATTGTGTATTTACATCTCAGTGGGAAATACCTAATGTAGGGGCTTTTCTGTATACTTGGTGCATTTGGGGAGTGATTAGAAATTTACTGAGTTTTACACCTTGTATTGCACATTCACAAGAGTGGAAAGTTAGGCAAAGGGGATCTCCAAAGATTTGGTTGACATGCCTCCCCCTTTTGCTTTAAGATCGTCAGCTATACTCCTATAGCCTGCCCACCCATTGTCAGAGCTCATAGGAGAAAAGAGGCCAGGTGCTGCTCTGCCACCCACCCATGTCCTCATCCTGTGTGGTGTGCAGAGTGCAGTTCCTGGGATGTCTGGCATCTGAAAAGGCTAGGGTCACAAGAATAGACTTTTAAAAAAATACTGTTTCTCATTTCAATATGAGGAATATGTGTTTAAAACTGAAGATCTTAAAGACAAAGTAGAGAAGAAATCAGTTAATAAAATCTTCGAAAATAAACTTACAGCTCTTCATGAGAGGAATTGTAAAGTATTCAAGAAAAACAAAACAAAATCTCAATGCTTAAAACAATGAAATAGTTAAGACGGGCTACGTGTTCTCTTGAGTGAGGCTCCTACATGCAGTGGCCCTCAAGTCCCTTTAGGAGCCCTCGGGTTTTGGCACCAGTGGCTGGGCTTCCAGCCAGAGCTCAGGGCCTGACCAGCCAAGGTGTCTGTTTTCTGTGGGAGGCAGCTCTGTGGAATGAATGGGCTCTATGAAGATCAGTATCCCCAGAAAAAAATGGCAAACTACACATCACACACACCTGCTAGATAACCTAATACTTTTCATTATTGAATATCTTGAATCCCAAGAATTGTGTTTCCCCCAATGGGGGTACATCCTATTAGTACATTTAATTAATAACAGGCTAAGAGAGACAATGATAATTTGCAGGTGAACTGGTTTCTTGCAAGATACACAAAAGCACAATAAGCATGTGCGCACACTTGTGTGTGTGTAAAAGCAAGCTGAGCACAGTGGTGCACTGACCTATTGTTCCACTCACTCAGAAGACACAAATGCAAGGGTCACTTGAGTCTAGTTCAGAACCAGTATGGTTGGGCTGATAAAATGGCTTAATGTGTAAAGGTGCTTGATGGCAAGCCTAATAGCCTGAATTTGATCCCTGACCTGACCCACGTGGTAGAAGGAGAGAACCAACCCCCAGAGGTTGTCATAAGACCTCCCCACATACGCATGGCATGTATGTGTGTTTCCCTCCCTCCGTCCCTCCCTCCCTTCCCTCCCTTCTCTCCCTCTCCTCCCTCCCTTCCTCTCCTTCCCCCATGCTCTGTCACACATGTACACACACATACAAGTAATCAATAAGGGGCTGGAGAGAAGGCTTAGCAGTTAAGAGCACTGACTGAGGACCAGGGTTAAGAGCACTGAGAACCAGGGTTCAATTCCTAGCACCAACCTAGTGGCTGACAACCATGTAGCTCCAGTTCCAGGGGAATTTGATGCCCTCTTCTGACCTCCTTGGGCCTTGCACAAGATGGATGCACTTACATACATGCAGGCAATACATTCATACACATAAAATAAAAATAAAAAATATTTTAAAACATAAATAAAATGTAATGAAAAATTAAAACAACCTGGGCACTGTAACAAGACCCCCATCTCAAAAAATAAAGCAAAAACATGAAAGAATTACTGTGCACAGAGTGCTAGTAACAAACCAAATAGTATGTCCACAGAAGAAACTGTCCAACTGGTCCAGAAGACCAGTTCCTTCAAGCAGCACTTAGGTAGGCCCAGATGGTGTGCAGTCTTTAGCAGTGAAGTGAAGGGTTTGTTCATTTGGCAGGCCTCCAGCAGCCGGTACCTGTTCAATATGAAAGTTCGCTGGGCAGAGCCATGGTGAATTGCATCTCAAGTGCAGTCTGCAGGCACCAGTATTTTCACTCCTAGAAGGTATTTTATCTCAGCTCTCCAGTGTCAAGTTTTGAACAGAAAGGTTGCGAGCACCAACATCTCATTTGCATATCCTCACACAGTTGTCACTGTAGCTTTCCATCAGCCACTCAGCTCAGTTAGAGAGGAGTCAGTGCTGTCAGGGCAGTCAGGTTTTCTATTGAAATAGAAGTTAGGGATGTCCCCAAGAATCATTAACAGTCCAAACATAGTATAATAGTCCAGGTGCCATGGCATCCACCTTCTGGGAAGCTCAGTGCTCCCCTTCCCGCCGTTGTTCCTGTTGGCTGTTGTAACCTGGGGATATCTGGCACACCGAATGTTTTTCTGTTGTATGGAAGGAGACTTTGAGTTCCAAGAGCAGTGTAAAATAGAGAGATCTCAACTCAGTGGCTAGGAAACTGGGAGGGGGTGTGTGTGACCAGACTGAGGAAGGTTGCTGGGGCTACCTGGCCATCCTGCCTTACATTTTCTTCCTTTCAAATGGGAAGGTGTGAGAGAATCAACCATATGGCACCAGTTGCCTCCTTTTATTTCATGGCCCATATGTGCCTTTACTATGGGTGCAGAGCCTTCCCTGGGTGCATGGGGATAATGCTGCTCTCACCAGCAAGTCACCTGGCTCAGACCCCAGGATTTGAAAGTTACGTTTGATAGGGAAAAAGACAGATAGGTTTGTATTAAAATCCAGAGTGCTAAAAGAGCACATTTGTATGAACTACTCATCATTTTCAAATGAATATTAAGACTATAAGAGTGCAGCTTACTTAATAATTACTGCACAATTCAAAATAAAATCTTTTAGAAGCTCTCTGACAACCCATTCCAGGTTCTTTAAGTTATAAGATACCTTTACTGTGTAGTAAATTTATTCATTTCTAATTAAATGTGCATGCTATAATTGAAGTTACTTTTTAATCTCTGCTCTGTTTTCAGTGCAAAATGGAGTAACTAGGTTATTTGCTTCTAGGGTACTTATAAATTTTCTTTATATCTTCTCAGTGGAAAACTTCCAGTCTTGCAGCTGTCCTGCAACAGTTTATTGATGCCAGCTGTTCATCTCTGAACCTTCTCTTCATCCTTTTTACCTGCAGTCTAAGACAGACTTTAATAAGATGGTGAGAGCAGGAAATCAGCCCCTCTGTAGACATCATCTTGTATGAATCTCAGTCTGAGTTGATAGTTGGCCATAACCTTTCCTGTCAAGCAGCTTGGAAGCTGTTTTGCAGGATCATGTGTGGAGAGCTTCAGAGCTTTTATTATAGTTAAAAAGGGATTTAAGAGGGTGTTACTTGGTTTAATTTATTGTGGCATTGGCAGGATGTGATCTTTCTATGCCTTGTGGTTCATGGAGGTAATTAAAATACAGATGATGAGCTGGAAGCCTCTGATTGGTATAGACTGCTCTCCTCTACCATCCTGGGCGTTATAGAGCCAGAAAGCCCAGCGGGGTACAATAAGCCTGTGACCTGGCTGAGTGATTTACAGGAGTAACCTGAAGAACTGCTTCCTAATTGCATCATCTGATTCATTTATCGCAGCACAGTATCTTAAAGCAGTGACAGGACCATGTTGAAGTATCAGATCCATAAGACCTAGCGTGCAACTGCTGCACTTTGCTGCCCAGGAAACCTGATGCCTATTGCATCAGAGCTGGATTCTGAGAGTAATTAAAGTGTGATGGTCTACGTAACTTGCGCTTTATATGGAGCACTGTTAATTATATTGCCATCTCTTGGGACTAACCAGAATGAGTCCTGGAAATTCTATAGTTACCAAAGTGTAGGGAAAACAAAAGATAAAAGTGTTCACAATATAATGACCTCCCCAAATGTTCTTTGGCCTTTCAGAGACTTCAGAGGCCTGGCCTTTTCTGTTATAACTGGTCAATAAGAAAGTAGTCTGAAGTCACCTGAATTCCAAATAAAATGTGTGGTGGGGGGTGGGGGGGTGACACTTCTTAAATAAAAATAAATTTCTAAACCTGTTTGCATTTAAGGCTCAACCTTTGGCTTCTCTGGGTTGGATTGTCCCCCAGTACATGAATGCCTGCCACAGTTGGTGGCCCCAAATAGATCAAGGTATTAACTCCAGTTTGTCATTTACTGTGCAGACTGAAACTTTCAAAAGCAGATGGTCTTGTGTTTCCCTTGACAGCACAGTCACTGGGAGACCATAATCTGTAGCCTTAGACCTGACCCTAAAAACTGTCAGGAGAAGCGGTGAAAGCCATTTGCTAATTATGCAGCTTTCTTGGCAACATGCACTTTCCCAAGACTGTTCCTGAATCAAGGAGGCTATGTTTTTCTGTTACAGTTCTATATGTGGAGCCTAGAAAGCTATTGTTTAGATCTCACATTTGAATGAAAAGGACTGGTTGGATGGCAGGGTGGCCTGTGCTCGGCTGCTGTGCTGTGCTGCGTGCCAGGGCCTGGTTCCCATGCCCTCCTGTACTCCTTCATGGGCTAACCCACCTGCCATCAGCCACCACAGCTGGGTCCAGGGAGCTGCCTATCACCTGCCCAGACATATCTGCCTCAAAGAAAGGAGCATGGAGGAACATGGGGGTGGGGGGCATCACTCTGATCTTAAGTCAGAGAGTATTCCTCATTAATTTTCCTGTGTAAAGAATTCATAGTTTAAGGGCTAGAGAGATAGCCCCATGGTTAACAGCACTGTCTGCTCTTGCAGAGGTTCTGGGTTTGATTCCCAGCACCTACATGATGGCTATAAACTGCCTATAACTCCAGTTCCAGGAGAATCTGATGACCTTTTCTGACCTCTGGACATTGCTTGACATGGGTGCACTTGCATACATGCAGGCAATACACCCATACACATAAAAATAATAAATATTTTTAAGAGTTCAGAGCTTAATAATTAGTATTTTTTTTTGTCTAATAAGAGCTCCAAATACCTCTGTGTGAGCTAAGGTATGTTCTTTTCTTCATTCTCCAGATAGCCATAGCAGCTTCAAAAGAAACTCTTTCCAGAAAGTCCAGTGCATAGTTCCCCATCACTGAAATATTGCTCTGACGAATTACCTCCCATCTTCAGTGATGCTATTGGTTTTCAGTGTATGAGTAGCATTTCATTAATGTTGTAGGATTTATCCCCCCTACATTTTCATTAACAGCTGTTGAAGCACTTCCTGTTTGAGCTCTAATGTTATGCATGTAATTGAACAAAAGCTGAAGTGGATGATTTAGCAGTAGTTGACTAGGGAAGTGTGGTGGGGTTTCTGTATCTGAAAGCTGTGCACTCTGGGCTACATTAACAACTACACTTCCAAATGTCAGCCTCAAAAGGGTACCAGATGTCCCAGCATTGTCTCTGAAGAAAACCCAGGTTGTATGATAGTTTTCATTATTGGGAATGTGGGGTCTTAGAAGTCCTTGCTATGCACAGGCCATGGGGAGCAGCAGTGGGAGCTGAGGAGCTCCTTCCAGCTTTCTTGCTCAGTCTCCGCAGTGGGCTGCATGTAGGCACCCTGTGGGTACAGTACAGAGTTGGGCAATTTTTGTCCAACGTGTGGAGCTGGGCATCCCCCAATGTGCACCTCCTACTTCTCTGTCTTAACACTGAGAGACTGCATGTAAATTTAAAGTGCAAGAGTACATTTGGTACTTGTTAAGGCTTTAAGCCCAAGAATGACAGATTTATCACTAATTAAACAATAATTGCATTATAGGGTACTGAAAAAATTGCTTGTAGTATAAACAACATCTGGTAAAGATTAAAAAGAAGGAATAATTTTTCCAAGCTCAAAGTTGTTACAAGAAACTTGAATGTTTTAAAACAAAATGCTTTAAAATGTGAAAGGGGTATTTAGTTTTATGTTTAGCATTTTGAAAATAGAAAAGGAAATGGCATAATGAAAAAATACATATTTATACATGATAGATATAAAGTTATTATATAAATAGATTCATTTAAAAGCCAGATAATTTTTAATTCAATAAAAAGTTTATTGTTGAATCTTTTGAGCCATCTTTTCCTAAGAAGACACTTTTTAAAATTTTTATTTTATTATATTTTATGTGTATCCATGTATTGCCTGCACGTAGGTAAGTGCACCTGTGTCGTGCAGTGCCCACGGATGTCAGAAGAGGCTGTCGGATCCCCTGGGACTGGAGTTACAGACAGTTGTTAGCTGCCATGTGAGTGCTGGGATTCGAACCCCAGTCTTCTGCAAGAACAACCAGTGTTCTTAACTACTGAGCCATCTCTCCAGCCCCCAAGACTTTTCTTTTTCTTTTGGGATTGTATGTCTGTGTGGTGACTGTAGTTGCCCTTTAACTTATGTATGTATGGTCACAAAGAAGGGTGTCCCTTGTCAGAACAGGAGAGCTGGCTCCATGTGGAATGGGGATGCCCCTCTGGTGGGCAAATTGGAAGGAAAACATTTCAACTGATTGCCTCAAGTGACCATTTGCTGAGTAAAACATCAGACAACATTAAAACAGGCCAAGAAAACAGAATTTCCCAAGTTTACTGAACTTTAGCTTTTTGTTCCTCTCTTTCCCTCCTGAGTCTGGAGGGGGGACATAAGATGGATTTTTTTTTTTTATTCCTCGTCCTTTGTTGTCTTTTTGTTTTTACTGAGGCATTCACTTTTATCTGTGATTACCTTACGTATAGTTTCCATTTTTAGTTCTTTCTCTCAATCAGAAAATGGTAGAAAAAAGTATGTAGTCTTCCTGAGAATCATGCTCTCTGTGTTCTCAGATTGATGCCCTGGGATGAAAATAGCAGACTAAAGAAGCTTCAGGGCCAATGTGGAGAGTCTGCACTACGTGTACTGTTCATGGTGTAGAGTGGGACTCTGGCTTCTGGCTCACCTCTCTTGTTGCTGCTCTGCACATTCTCCACATTGACTTCTCTTCCCTAGTTTTGTTCAGGGATGGGAGTAGGCCATCCTGGGCAGAGGGAAGATAAACACTATAGTTCTGGGGACTAAGTAGGAACTGGTGGATAACCTGGGGAGGAGTGTCTCATCAAGTGCAGAGGATGTACATATGACAGAACATTCTGGTCCCCAGTAAAGGAAGAGCAGGAAGATCCTACAGGTCTCCATTATCATTGTCCACCCTCTGACAGTGAAAGAAGTACGTGAAGGAAGAATAATAAAACGGTTACTGATGGCGTGACATGGTTTCCCTGGTCTTGAAATAATCTCTACATGAAAATTGTTATGCCAGATGGAGAAAAGAGAGTTTGAGAAGGAACAGATTTTGGTGGGATGGAGAAAAACAGATGAGCAGATGGAACCCAAGAAAGCTTTTCTTTCCTTGTTTTAGTACCAAAGATGATCACACAGATCATGAAGTTTCAGAGCAGGGTTCTAGAGCTCTGGACTACAGTGACCCATGGTGGCCCACCTGACCAGTAAAACACTACACACTTGCCTCATCCTCACAAGGATGCCATAAAAAATTGGAGGAAAATATGACTTCCAAAGAAATGTTCAAGAAAGCCTTAATTCTAAGAAGAGCTGCTTAAGCATGTCACGGGGACATATGCCTAACCCAAGAGCACTTTGGTCCTTATGAAGTAACTCACTGGCCCTGAAATGTGCTGGGAAAATATAAAGAATTTCATTTTTAAAACCTCCAGTCAAGAGTGTAGGTGAGAAAGGGCTTCTCACAGGGAGTGCAAGGAAGCAATGCCGAAAGTGGACACTCCCATCATGGCTATTTAAGAGGGGGCCCGCCTCCTGCCCCTTACCTGTTTTAGAATTTAAAGTAGGTGTAAAAGCAGACTGGGAGAAACCAAGGATCTGAAATCCTAGGAAAGAAGGACTTCCAAGTGTAGAGTTCAGCTTCATGGGGAGAGTGGGTGGGTTCCGCACAGCCTGAATGGGTTGGAATCGCTGACTGAGATGTTCAGATGGAAAGAAAAGTCTGTTCCAGCTCTCACTCTTTGACAAATTGGCTTATCTTGTGGTTTTCAGGGTAGCCCAGTGTGCCTCTTGCGTCTTCCCTTTCTTTGTCATTTAGAAATCCATGTTATCAGAACTGAATTGTTCTTAAACCCGTAGTGGCTACAGTGGGGGTAGTTAAGCCCTTTGTAATAAAAGAAAATAACTTTACCACATCCAGCTCTCTTATTTTCCCTCAGTGCGTGTTCAAGGGTTGTGTCTGTCTGTGGGCACGTGGCAGTGCTATAAGGTCTTTATGCAATGTTTCTAAAACGTGCATTGTCTATGGAAAACTGAGAAGTTGTCCTGGCAAACTTGACTGAATCATATTTAAGACATCCAGTTTGCTTTCCCCTGTTTTGTTTTTTCCATTGGGAATGTAGAAACTCTCACAATGTTTTCTGGGCATATGTCCAAGTGACCTCTTAATAACTGTTGTTATTTACAGTGAGGCTGAGACACAGGCAGCTTAATTGACTTTCTAGATCAAAGACAAGAAATCGCCTGCCCTTCCTCTGTTGTTTCTTATGTAGGAATGAATTTATCAGGTCTGCTTCTTTTGAATGCAGTTGCATATCAGTAAAGGGTTAGAAATCATGGGCTGTGCTATTTAAGAAGCAGAAGAAATTAACTTGCAAATCATAAATGTTTCTCTTTCAACTAATGAAAAGGACAGCATCCCATCGTTTGAACAAGTGGGGACACTATTGCCTGAAACCTTCCCTAAGGGAGCCTGTAATGGTCATGCATGACCACTAGATGGCACACGCTCAATGTTGCAAGTAGGATGACAAGGCAGAAGCCAGTAGAGACAGGTACTCTGCTCTTTCCCAGGGTAGTTCAGAAAACTGAAGGCTTAGGGCAACTGCCTCTTTTTTCTTGTGGGGGTGAGAAGGCTATGAAAAATGTTTCCCAAAACTTGTCATATCAAGTACAAAATGACTTAAAGAAATTTCCTGGAGCGTAGTCCACTAATATTTGGATGCCACTGTGAAAAATGTTTTATAATGCAAACAGACTTTTAAAAAATCTAGCATAAATTCAAGCTTTAACCTGAAAACCTAAGCCAGGCCCACTGAGGCCCCTACTTAGGTATGCCACAGGAAGCCAGCATCTGCAGATTGAAACTATCAAGACCTGTTAACAAACTATTCTAGGCTAGATATCCCTCATCACTGGTGTCTGTTTTCTGTTAACCTTCTTTTCATCCTAAATAATTAAAGATGCTAAATGCAGAGTGCATTAAGTGTCCAGCTTAGTAGTGGTCACAGGTTTCTTAAGTGCTCATGACCAAATAAAGAGAAATAAAAGGACAGCAGGCAGAACCTCCACTGAGGTAGTCCTAGGCCAGTTGAGCAGGTCAGCCACACATCACATTTGAGTAAAACTAGGAACATGGATAAACCCTGAGTCTTCCCTATGCCATAGACATAGAAAATAGTTTTGAATTGTTGATGAAAGATACTCCTTTTCGGGCGTGGTGGCGCACGCCTTTAATCCCAGCACTTGGGAGGTAGAGGCAGGTGGATCTCTGTGAGTTCTAGGCCAGACTGGTCTACATAATGAGTTCCAGGCTAGCTGTGGCTACAGGGAGACCCTGTCTCAAAAGAAGAAAAGAAGGTTACTCCCTGTGTGTGTGTGTGTGTGTGTGTGTGTGTGTGTGTGTGTGTGGGTTGTGGGGAGGGGGAGAATCATACCAGCATATTATGTGTGTGTGTGTGTGTGTGTTTTGGGTAGGGGGTGAATCATACCAGCATATTATAGAAGATGTGGAACAAAACAGGAGTACAAAGAGAAAATAACACTTGCCCACGATCCCCTACCTAAAGAGACCCACCACTGGCATTTTATACGTGGCTTTTTTCCTATGTACTGAATGCTCTTTTGCCTTAACATAAGGGACTATGCCCATTTTTAGGAGCTGGCAGCCCTAAACAACCCGTTTGTCTGATAATCACAAGTTGTTATTGATAGAGGCCTATTACATTTCACTTTTTCCTGGCCTTTTCCTTTTACAGCCTCAAGCAGCCTGCCACCCTGCCATCTTCAGAATTGTTGACGAAATGTTCAGGTAAATATGCTGACTCTGGTAGCACTTGATCTAAAAAGCTCAGCTTCCACACACAGATTAAGATGTCTGTAGTAGTCCAACTGTACCATGAGAAAAGAGCTTCTGGCTCCTTCCTGGCCCTTGAGCTTTTTTGTAATTAGAGCTAAAAACTCAGAAGTCAGTGTACATTGAAAAAGGCAGTAGCCAAGAATTAGGACAACTCTTTAACCTTGTTATTCAAATACTGGCAGGAAGGTAGACCTGAATTAGATATTGATATCATGAAATATTCTGCAGGATTTTTCTTGACTCTGCACAAAGCAAGTAATATGCCCCCTCACCACATGAGGGCTGACTGGTCTTTGTAAAAGATGTTAATGTTAAAGAAAGCCAAGAAAAATAAATAATGCTATGCTTAACAGAGCTCTTCTGAAAGACAGAATAAACCCCACATATTTCAACAACATACTAATTTTATTTTAAAGACATGAGTCCTGGGGATGTGCTGGCCTTAGAGGGTGAGAGGTGAGAGCTGTATCACAAGCCAGGTTGGCTCTCCTCCTAAAGTCTGTGGGTTTCAGCTGTGGAGTCCTAAAACTAGACTGGAGTTTCCACCCTCACATGGATGTGGACAGCCAGGGTCTAAACCTGCCTGCAGCCCTCTTATCTCTCACACGGTCTTGGAGGGACAGGCTCTGTAGCAAACAGTGGGCAAAGGAATTTTTACAACCAGTACCTTACTGCTTGAGTTGGTCTTGAAACACACCAGCTTTAAATGGCCACAGACATAAGAAGGCAGGGTGGTATTTTTAGTTTAAAGCTAACCAAGTTTGAGATTAAACGCATAGAAACCAAACGAGGTACAGCTAATTCCCCAGGCACTCACTGGTGGGTTTGAATGAGCCATTCACTTCTCTTGGCAGCTCTGTCACAGCTTGTGAAGGCAGAGCACCTGCTGCTGTCACTATCTGGTCCTCAGACAGCCAGGTGCTGGTGAAGAGCAGCAAGCCCAAAGGAAGGCTGTGTGGTACATGGTAATCTAAGAGTCAAGAAGGAGCTCTAGAGAAAATACTTGGAAAGGAGGAATGTTTCCTTCTGCCTTCACATAGGAACTGAAATCTGTGAAATAAGGAGCTGCCAAAGTTACAGTCTTTTGCTTAGCCTAAAGGAAGATGCCCATTTTGTGGCACGGATTGTAGTGCATAGTGAATGGCAGGATGTCATTGTCTTGACTTTGCTTTGCTCAGGTTTGCCCTCCTGGAGACTGATGGAGCCCCCCAAGTACTAGCTGTCCTTCAGGTGTTCACACGGTGCTTTGTAGAAGCTCTGGAAAAAGAAAACAAGCAGGTATGTTGGGATCTTGTCCACCTCAGAGAAAAGGAGGCTGCTAGGAGTATGTGGCTACTGAGCTGAAAGGAACTCTTTATTTTCAGAAATTGTATTCGTTTTGTGGTGCTGGAGACCACATCCAGAGCCTCATATGTGCTAAGCTCATGCTCTGACACGGAGCTACACTCCCAGCCTTATTTTTAAGAATTTTGATGGGCTCTTGTTCAAAGAAAGCTTCCAAATGACCACTTCTGCAAAGATGAAACATTAACTGAAAATAAGTGAAGATCTAGTATATGTTCTCTGTGCCCTGTGCCCAGAACCATCTGTACACCGCTGTATCTGATTGTGCCTTCATACTGCAGATCGAGAATTCCCCTGTGTGCTCAGTCTGCTCAGTCTGCCCTTGTGTCTGTATCTAACCCTATGGCCAGCAAGAGTCATCATGCAGTCTATAGGAGCTACTGTTTATTACAAGGCAAACTGACATTCTTGGTGATTGGTGTCTTCATTCCTACCAGAACCCTAAATATAACTGGATCCCAGGAAAGAAAGGAGTTGGTAAAAGGGACAGGAAATGATCTGAATAGCTGTAGAGAAGGAAGAATGGCAGTGACCAGAAGCTAGTGTTAGATACCATCAGTAGACTGAAGGACTCTAGGCTTCCATCAGTAGAGGTTGGACTGTAGCTGTGAGGGCTGCTGACCACTTAGAATGGTCCTGTGGAAAAGGAACTTTTTCTACCAAAGAGCCTTGGCCATTGTAACTAATAGCCAGAGTTAATGGTTATGTGGTGGTTTGCCTATTCGGAGTGGCACTGGCTTTAGCATCTTTCCCATGAAGGCCCAGTTCCCTGTAGTGCTCTTTACAATTTGACTTAGGATACTCAGCTCACTAAAGCCCACCCACCCCAAAACTGAAGGAACGTCTCAAGTTTTAGCACATGTTTCTGCTTTCTAAGGCACCAATAAATATTTATGATTTTTTTGCCATCCTCTTTCCCTAGGGAAGTTAGCTAGACCGTAGCAAACAGTGTTATCAATGGTACCCAGCCTGGAATTTGGGAGGAGACCTCAGCAGAAAGGCACTGGCTGGTGCTCACAATTTTGAGCATAGCTGTAAATATGTTACCCCTCTTACCCATTCTTTTTTCCCAGGGAAGAAGTAACCTCTAGCAAACCTTGCTGGTAGACTCCTGGGACATACCCAGGTCAGGGCAGAGGACACAGAGAAAGTGGTTTTGCTATTTAGCATTTGCTGGTATATTATCTTGGCTTTGCTGTGAGTCTGCTGGCTTTGAGCACTGAGAATTTGGACTGCACTTAATAGTGCTTTTAATTTAGAACAGTGCTTGTTGGGCCACACATGTCTAGGGTTGGGAGGGGCACACAGTGAACCCTGGCGTGAGGCAAGGTAGGGATCCAGAAAGAAAAGATTATCCACCCCTGGTTCCAAACAGGAGAGTGATAACCTCTTAACTTTGCAAATGCCTTTGTGTCTACCTATGATTTACTTTTTCTTCTGATGCCTGACTGCCTACCCTTTTAACTGAAGACTGACTCACTGGCCCCTGGACTCCTTGAGTGTCCACTTTCAGACTAATCATACTCCTTGGTGCATGAAATCCTGTCATGCTTGGTCTGTTCATGACCCTCTCTTTTTTGCTTGATTCATTGTTAATGAGTATTGCTGTGTTGAATCTTGCATTCATTATTCCTTTTCTGTTTCTGAAAATAGTTTAATCACCTATTTGTGGCTGTAAAACAGTTTTGTTCCATTTGGGTTGTTTCTGTACTTTATAAAACAAACACAGAAGAGAGCAGCACACTATGATCATTTGAGATGTGCTTTTCCTCTCAGCCTATTACAAAGGTGGCGTTAGGTCCCTGGTGCTGTGGTGAAAGGTTGCTATGTGGCAATCCATTGCCCAAATGTACCACAGTGAAGCCATTTACTAGTTGCTGGACATCTGGACTATTTCTAGATGTACTTTTTATTACAAACATGTTGCATTGGATATTTGGGGATGACACTTAGGAGCAGAAGTGCCTGGTCTTAGGAATGAAGACTTTGCTTCAACAGGTCTGTTCTAGTTTGCTTTCTGTTGCCATAACAAACACCAGGAGCAAAAGCAACTTGGGGAGGAAAGGGTTTATTTCACCTTACAGGTTACAGTCCATCATGGAGGGAAGCCAAGGCTGGAGGCAGGAACCTAGAGCAGGAACTGGAAACCATGGAAGAGCGCTGCTCATTGTCTTGCTTCCCCTGGCTTTCTCAGCCACTTTTCTTATACATTCCAGGTCTAGCTTCCCAGGGATAGCACCTCCCACAGTACACTGGGCCCTCCTAAATCAATTAGCAATCAAGAAAATGCCCCACAGCTGTGCCCAGAAGCTAATCTAAGGCGGAAATGCCTTATTTGAGGTCCCCCCTTCCCAGGTGACTTTAGTTTGCATCATGCTGTCTGAACTGAACTGGCACAAGGTCCTGCCAGGCTGGTTACATAATAGGGTTCTCACTTCTCACTTTCTTCCATTGTCAACATGTGTGCTTTTTTCCCTTCTACCCTTTCCTCTTACCCCTGTTCTACATGAGCAGGAGTGAACAGCACCACCAATGAGGCTGACTTAGCAGTGGCAAGAACCTGAACTGGGTGTAACAAACCAGGTCCTGAGCTTGTTCAAGTGCAGGCAGCCAGTCAGGTTAGGATTGGGTTTCAGGAGTTTAGCAGACAGATAATGGACTAGACTGAGTGTCCCACAGATTAAATGACAGGGCAGAGTGTTGTTAAAAATTTGCTTGAAGGCATCAAAGAGCATCTGACAAAACAGAGGAATAAGAAGGGCCTTGGCTGCAGGAACAGTGACTCTCACCAAGGTCCCTGTGACAGCAGGGGAGGGACCACAACTCAAGGTGTTCCCAGGATTCAAGATGGAAAACAGAGCTCAGTGGAAGAAAGAAATGGATGGGACATGAGAAATCCGTATCAAAGATAGACCTAGCCAGGCATAATAACTCACACCTTTAATTCCAGCACACTGGAGGTAGAGGCATGTGGAGCTCTGTGAGATTGAAGCCAGTCTGGCCTACATAGTGAGTTCCAGGCCAGCTGGGGCTATAGGGAGACCCTGTCTCAAAAATAATAATGATAAAATTTTCAACAAGTCAAAGAGACATTGATATCAAAATTAAATGATGTGCTAAAAATGTCAGCTTGGATTTGGGAGGAAAAACACAGACAGTACCAAGTATATGTTGTTTCAAGAGAACCATTCTAACAATAAAGACACAGCAAGATTAGAAGTAAAAGGAGGGAAATGATGCCCTGCAAATGGTAAGCACAGGAGAGCTGGGATGCTCCGGTAGCTGCAGATGAAGCTGACTTCAAGACAAGCTTACCAGCAAAGAGTTCACAGTGATAGAATCGTCAGTTCACCAGAAGAAAGTACTAGCCATAAACATACAGGCATGATGACAGAGGTTCAAAATACATGAAGCAAAACTGACAGAAAAAATGGACAAATTTATAGGCATACATAAAACACCTGAAAACAAGTTTAACAAAAGAAAATCACAAAACCTTGGCTAAGAGCAATTAAAGCAGACTTGACTATAAGCAGAAAGAAGTCATGTGTGTGGGACCCATTAAAAATCTGCCTGTTTTGGGAAGCTGGAGAGATGGCTCAGCAGTTAAGAGCACTGGCTGCTCTTACAGAGGATACAGGTTAGGTTCCCAGAACCCACATAGCAGTCAGCTGTTTGTAACTCTACTTCCAAGGGATCTGACACCCTCCACTGGCCTCCACAGGCATTGTATGGCACCTATATGCATGTAGGTAAAACATTCATATACACAAAATAAAAATGAATAAATTACCATTGAAATCTACCCAATGACTTTATAGACATACATAGGTGCCAAGGATCCGAGTGTAACCGACTATGACTAGTAATAATCAGATACATACAGATTAGAGATGCATGCGCCAACATCTCAGTGTTATTAGCAAAAACATTGAGTCTTTCTGTAAGAACCAGTATATTTTAAAATGAAATGGAGATCCTTTTTAAAGGTTAAAACTCATTCAATTTTATGTCTTACAGGGCTTATACTGAGTTCAATATTGTATAACTGTATTAATTCAACTGTCAATGTAAAATTTTATAGCCACTTTTGAAAGAGATGTATCTTTGCTCTGGAAACTGTTATTGAGTATGTTAAAGCTGTAATAGAATGCTTCTTCTAAAAAACAAAAAATACGTATTTAAAAAAATCTGTATAGAGCAAAAAAAAAGTCTGGCGCTAGAGAAATGACTCAGTGGTTAGGAGCACTCGTAGCTCTTGCACAGGACCCAGGTTTGGTTCCTAGGACCTACACAGTGGCTAACAACTATCCATATCTCCAGTTTCAGAGGATCTGACACCCTCTTTTGGCCTCTGTGGACACAGGTGACTTCAGTGACACAGGTGCACTTCAATACATGCAGGCAAACACTCATACACATAAATTAAAAATTTAAAAAAACTTTTAAAAGTTGATTGCCATCTTCCCACTTCTAGACTAGGCCGGGATTTGTTGCGTGATTGTTCCTGACTAGCCTGACGAGTGTAACTCTTACCACTCAGCAAAGAATCTTTTTCTGGCAACAGATGGAAACTGTTTCTGTGGAAACAGAAGTTCCACAACTGGTCAAGAGCAGAGAATAAGTGACTGTGAGGAGCCCAGCCCTAAGTGACACATCTACAATGCAGGGAACATTGTGGAAGAGGAGGTGGAAAGAATTAAGAGCCAGAGAGACACGACACCAGCTGCTAGATAATCATTCTAGACATGATAAGGAGGCTGTGTCAAGAAACCTCCATAGCACGAGTAATCTAACAATATTTGCATATAAGAAAACCAATTGACACACCAAGGTGGGTGGGGGAAATTTCAAGGGGTCCCAACTTAAGATAAAGAGCTACAGGCTGTCAGTGGATGCTGATAGAGGGAGAATCAGTTTTCTCTGGGGACTAGCTCCCCAAGAGTTATCTAACTCCAAGTGGGTAGCCCTAAACACAGGTACACAGGAGTACCGCTGAATGTACTCAGTGCAACGTATCAATAAATGCATGCATGTATATGTAACAATGATAATCAAGGAAGAGGAGAGGAAATTGAGAGAGAGTTGGGGGGTATGGGAGGAGTTGGAGGGGAACTGGGCGGGATGGAAACGCCGTGAAGACTAAACGTATGTATGATGTTCACAAAAAATTTAAAAATAAAAGAATGAATAAAGTCCATTTGCTTTCTAAACCCAGTTTACTTTTCTGTTGAGTTTTCTTGAAGCAGCTATTGAGTAATTTTAGTTGGCGGCTGCAGGAGAGGTAAGGAGAAAGCACTTTGGTCTAGTATTTGGTTCCTAGAACAAGATGCTGCCTAACCTAGTACATTGTTACTATTATTCTTCCAGGTAATTAGAAGAAAATGTAATGCACCATTAAAACCAGCTCCAAAACATGTTATTTTCTATAAAGATTTGTTTTCCAGATGTCTTGGATTATACTTTTGTTGAGGGAAGATAGTGTAAATAGTTGGAAAATGCTGGTGAGATTGAAGCACTTGTTTATGAAATCATGTGTAGTATTAGAGTTTCTGTGTGTGAAATGTATGTATTAAAAATAATAAAACTTTAGATAGAACACTAACAAAAATCTTCTCCCCTGACCTACACCCTGTTCCTCAGTTTCATCTAGTAGCCCCACCCCAGTGCAGTGCACAGCCTTGTGCTTGGCACACCCTGGTCCCTGTGGCTTTTCAAGTGGAAATTCACAAGCAAATAGGCACACTTACCTGGAGATACAAGGGACCTACAAAAGCCAGAAAGAAAAAGAAAAGCGGGGGGGGGGGGGGGGGCCTTAGAATAATGAAGCCAGTGAGATTATTTGCAGAAGGACAGACAGATCAGAACAGAGTCTAGATATAGACCCATACATAGGAGGGTAAGTGAGCTTTGGCGAGAGACACAGGACAACAGAGTGAGGGCGAGGAAGTTTTTAGCAAATGTGTAGAACAACTGGATTCCTCTAAGTCCCTCAGCTTCTGTGTCAGAAAACACACAGAAGCTAGTCTGAGAAAGGTCAAACCTGTAAAGCCCTTAGGAGAAGAAAAGGTAATTGGTACCTTTTTTAAAAAAATAGGATTATCTTTTTTTTTTTTTGATGGAGTAATTAAAGATTTCTTAGAAACAGTGCAACAACAAAAAAAGCATTGCCCATACAAGAAAAATGGATAAATTAGACTTCAGTAAAATTTAAAACATCTGTTTTTGGTAGATACTATTTAAGAAAATGAACAGATAAGCCACCAACTTGGAGGAGATATTTGCAGTGCATGTATTAGAGGACTGTGTTCTGAATATATGAAGATGTCTCAGCTTCATAGGAGGCAGTTTTTAAAAAAATGAATACACATACTTAAGAAAGACATGTAAATTGGCACTAAACACATGAAAATGGCTCAGCATCATCTGCCATGCATAGAAATGCATAGGAAACTGTATAAAAGCAAGCATGGGTGAGTAATCTTTCATACCAAGCAGAATGGCTAAAATTAATAAGTCCAGCAATACCTGGTGTTGGCAATTGTGTAGAGCAAGTGATTTTCATCCATTGTTGGTGGGAGTGGAGTGGACAACCACTGGAAAACCATTGGCCGTAAACAGTTAAGCACCAGCTTTCTGACCCAGCACTTCCTCTTCTGTGGTGTGCCCTAGAAAAGTGAAAACCTGTCCACAAAGACAGAGATGAATGTCAGCTCCAGCTTTAATCATAGTCACTTGAAGAGGAAACAACCTAAGGGCTCATCTGTGAGAAGCTGACGAGCAGGTTCTGGCACAATCATGTAATGACAACTTCTGAGCTTACAAAGAATGAACTGCTCAGACATAGTAACACACAAGTCCTGAAACAACATGTACAGTTAAGCCAGACAGGCGAGCCAGTGATTCTGTTTACATGGAACAAGAATAAGTGAATCTGATCTTTTGTTGAAATAAAAGTACTGGTTGTCAGGGTAGAGTGGGAGGGCTGATTGAGTCACAGGAAACTTTGTGAATTGATAGCATTCTCTGTCATGATGGGTTACTGGTCACATGGAGTTACATGCTCACCCAAACTTATCAAGCTGTAGACCTAAGGCCTGTATACTTTTGTATGTTCTAGTTTTTATCCCTTTTTGTTTTTTATCTTTGTAATCTGGATTGTTTTCAGATCTACTCCTGATTTGTTTTCATTATTTTATGTGGATGAGGGTTTATATTGTCTGCATGTAAGTGCACCCATATTGTGCAATGCCCAAAGAGGTCAGAAGAGGGTGTCAGATCCCCTGGAACTGGAGTTAGGAATGATTCTTAGTTGCCATGTGGGTGCTAGGAGCTGAACCTGGGTCCTCTACAAGAGCAGCTAGTGCTCTTAACTACAGAGCTATCTCTCCAGACCTGTTTTTCTTTTTTTAAAAGCTTTGCTAGTTGGCAGCTACAGAATTCCTATTCTTTTTTTTTTTTTTTTTTTTTTTTTTTTTTGAGCATTTCCTATATGAGGTATTTACCTGAGTTTTGTTTTAAGTATTTTAAAACCTCTGTGCCTTTGTGGGGAAGAGATAAGTATAGTCTCTGGCTCTCAGAGTATGTAAGCACTGTTTTTATTGTTAAAAACACCACACTGATCTGGAAGGTGCTATGCATGCTACCAGAAGGAAAAAATAATCATCAACTGTAGCCAGCTGTGAATCCTGTGAACTACAGCAATCACTGGCCTGGCAAGATACGTCCACTGGTGCAATAATGGCACGAATGTTATGGGAATAATCAACCACTCTCAAATTGGATTTAAGGTCCACTTCATAGGATGGAGCCCATACCTGACATTGGTATCAGGGACCTGAGGCTAAACAGGCCACAGGACAGAGGGGAAAACCTAATACTAGTTTTTTACTAAATAGTTACCATATTAAACTGATTCCTAATGACTTATTGTGATATCCATAGATTAATGAATCTTTCAGCTCTCACCAAAGAAATCTCCTTATTCAGCAGCTGGTGATTAACCCAGAAACCTACGTCTGGCCAATGTGCAGAGAACAAGAGTTTGCAGGGTGCTTATCCCTCTTTGATATAGGACACCTATATCAAACATCTGCCTTCTAAGGCTCAGGGATCATTGTGGAAAAGGAGGTAGAAAGATTCTAAGAGCTTGAGTGGTGGATGACCACAAGGAAACAGAATTTTCCAGACAGTTGGTCAGTTATTCATATGAGCTCACTGCAGTGGTGACCAGCATAGAAGTGGGGAAGTGGGGAAGAAACCTTAACCCTACCTGAAGAATTATTGGCAACCAATGGCTGCTTGGAAGCATAGAGACAGTCTCTTTTAGGCATGGACTCTAGGTTAACTAGGCTTCAGTGGATAGACCCACAGTGAAGGACAACATTTGAGGACACAAATTAGGTTCTATAGGCCTCTTTGTGTGTGTGTGTGTGTGTGTGTGTGTAATTGGAGTACATTAAATTGGGCAGGAGGGCAATAACAGGTGGTATGGATAGGGGAGGGGATCTAAATACCATCAAATTATATTGTATGAAAATTGCAAAAACTCAATAAAAAATGTTACAAAAACAAAATAAACACCACACTGAGATTCCCCAGAGCTTCACAAGCACTTTGGCAGCTTTCTCTGAAGTAGAAGATTTGTATTTGTAGCTGGGTTCATGTGAGGTGAAAGCTCAATAAAGACATCAGGAAGATAGCTGATTTTCCTAAGTTCCAGAAGATGATTCTTAAAAACTATGTTTAGGGTATTTGTGAGGTTACTGGAAACATGTTTGTGAAAATGTCTGAGAAAGTGTCCTGCCCTGTCAGTGCAGTGGGTCTTGGGGAAAGAGCAGCAGAGATTTACACTGTCCTTGTTCTCTCTAGTCTCAATATTCATGTTGTGTCCATGTTTGATTCTCTTGTAGCCAAAGTTTACCTTCAAGACCTACTTTCCTTATGCCTCTCCATCCCTCACTGCAGTGCTGTCACAGCACCCTGAAGGTAAGTTAAGGTCGCTGGCCTTTGCTCATGTCAGTCACTTTTGGGGAAGAACCTGGTAACCCAGGGCCCTGAAGCCTTACCTGCCTCCTAGGAAGATAGTATAGCTATACCTGAGGTCCCTGCAAGCTCCCAGGGTTTCACATTGTGTAGATTTTCCTGTGAGAACCTGTTTTTCTTTCCAGGTATGATCAAGGAAAAAGGAAAGCTCTGGGTAGTAGGATAGTCAGTCTGTCTTCTGACAACAGCTCTGCTGAGGCTACCAGGGCCGCCCCCGGTGCCAGGAACAAGCTGAGACTTGGCTGAGTCAGAATACAACAGAATCCTTGTTTATTTTTCCTCCTTTTTGCTCCATGCAGCCTTGTTCCAGAAGAAAAGATAAAATGAAGGATGAAGCCATAGAAACTTATGAGAGATTTCTCCTAATTAAGCCAAGGAAGGGACTTTGAAAAGATTCAGTAAGATACGTGTGTTAGGGCCCAGCTTGGGGTCTAACTGCCAGTCTGCTTCCCCAGACCATGTCTGTAGTCTGAGTGGTACTGATTTGTGAGCTCATGTTTAGGAAACATCTCAGCAACCAAACATAAAGAGGGCTTTTCCTGGGCTGGAGAGATGGCTCAGCTATTAAGAGCACTGGCTGTTCTTCCAGAGGACCCAGGTTCAGTTCCCAGAAACCACATGGCAGCTAACAACCATCCCAAACTCCAATTCTAGGAGATCCAATGCCCTCTTCTGACCTCCATGGGCATTGCACAACATGGGTGCACTTAATATACATGCAGGCAATACACTCATACACATAAAATAAAAAAAATAACAAATTATTTTCTAAGAAGAGGACTTTTCTTTCTGACACCTGCAATCTGTAGAAGAGGCAGGCCTGTGACAGGAAGGACAGACAGAGAAGGGTGAAGGTGTCCTGTCTCCTTGCTCTGCTGTGCTTGAGCAAGGTCTGTTTCAGTTGAATGGATGATTCAGTTTCAGAACATTTTACAAAGTCTAAATTCCTCTTCCTTTTTCTAGAAGATAGAGGCTATTGTCCAGGCTATGTATGATACTGTCTCTCTGATGCTAGAGCTGGGGGGGTGGCCACAGTGGGGTATCTGTATGATGGCTTTGTGAAACTGACCTTGTGGGAACACAATAAAAAACTTTATTAATGGGATAGAAAAATCAGTAATACACTCTCTGGACTCAGTGGTAATCCTGAGGTCAGCCCTGGTGGGAGGCAGTCTGGGCACCTCAAAACAGATTAGAGCATAAGTTTGGAGACTTTTACACAATTCAGTGGTCCACAGTATGAACTCAGACCATCTACCTTCCCACTGTGTAACTGTCCTAGATGTCTTCACCAAGGTCAGTGAGTGACTTCAAGCAGAAGTACAGAAGCTTCTGTGCTGCTTCCCAGAACTCTTGTTTGCATGTCTCTTTTGGGGGGAAAAAAAAATGGAAGTATAGTCCCAAATGGAAATGAGTTCTTAATAGTCTAAGCTTCTGTCCATCAGAACTGCACTTCATGTCCATGGGGTTTTAGGAGTATAAAAGATCACAGCCAAGCTATGACCTTCAGAAGGAAAGAAAATTAACATCCAAGTAACCAGTAAGAAGAAAAGGACATCGACCTTCAGCAGTTATGTCATGGACTTGGAAGGAAGGAGGGGCCACTGCAATGTGGAGAAGTCAAAGTGCTGTTTCCTGGACACAACCTATTGATACATGAAATCCTTTTCCAGTATTGATTAGAACTGCAGACACATGCATACTCAGATGCTTAAGGGCAGTTGTGAAATCAGACATACTTTACCAAACACATTTGTTTGCATGGTATCTGTGTTGTTTTCCTGGCCTTGTCTGTCGAGTGAACATGAAATCATACAACCATAGAGAAACAGTTGAGCAGTCCATTGCCAATCCTTGTTGGTGTATTCAGTATGATCATCTTATATTTTGAAATCACAAATTAGTGGTGGAGCCAGAGGGTGGTAGGTAAAAAGAAAAACTCAGGGCGTCTGTAGCAAGGCACTTGTAAGTCCGAGGGTAGGCTGCTGAAGGAGTCTTTGTCCTCCATATACCTGAGTTAAAGATATTTGGAAGTGTAACCTCATATATCAAGGTGTAACCTCAGTTCCTAGAAGGCAGAGGCAGGATAGCAAGTTTGAGGCCAACCTAGTCTACATAATGAGTTAAGAGCAACCTGGGCTGTATATCCAGATCCTGTCTTAAACAACACAACAAAAAGATACTTTGAAAGTTTGACTTAGAGACAGAGCCTTGTTGGGAAAAGCATGATGTGTGTTTTGTGAACAGTGGGGAGGGAAAAGGAGACATTTCTGCAAAATTCTTCCAGTTTAAGCTACAGACATCTAATAGGTTTGGCTTTCTTTCAGTTCCGTTCTGCCTTATCTCCACCCACAGCTATCCCACATGGACACCGGCTCCAGCCTTTGCTGTATACTTCCCAGCTGCTCAGAGAAGCAGTTGAAGAAGAGACGCCTGAGTAAGCAAACCCTGTCCACGCCTAACCCCCTCATAGCTGCTCTCCTGGGGCTTCCCTTTGAGCAGACTGCCAGCTGAAGGCTTTGCTAGACCTTCACAGATACAGGCTGTCACTGTTTCAAGGTGAGGAGTGGAGAAAGTGGAGCTGCAGGACCCTTTGTGTTGGTCAGAGCAAGTAGGCCTGTATTGCAAGTATGTCACCACAGTGCCAGCTCTAAGGAAGGGCAGGTTTACAGTTTGAAAAACGCAAAGGAGAGAGACTCTAGAAATCAGCAGTGCCCATGTCAGGAGCCCCTGGCCACCCCATATTAAAAGAGTGCCTCTAGGTCTCAGGCTTTTTGCCCACCTCTCTGGGAAGAAAACAGCTTCTCCTGGCTAAAGGAGAAAATGTTAAATGTTTTGTGCCCTGTACCCTTTTCTGATTTTTCATTGAGTGAAAATTGGGAGGGGTTTTTTGTTTGTTTTTTTCATAAATATCTCTGCCGGGGCTGTTTAAGAGCACTTGCTGACTTTGCAGAAGACTGGTTCAGTTCCCATTACCCATGTCAGGTGGTTCACAACAACCTGTAATTCTAGTTCTGGGGGTTCTGAGCCCTCTTGGCCTCTGCAGGCACTGTACACACATGGTATACACACATACAAGCAGGTAGGCACACAATACACATAAATTAAAAAAAAATAACTATCTTTCCAAAGTTAGAAACCCTATTCCAGAGTGAATTACTTTGGGCAGTGTGTTGTAATGCCCTTCTTAGGTGCTGCTTTTGGGAAAGCATTCCCATGCAGGCTTGCGGTGGCCTTCATATGTAACACTCACTTGCTTCCTCCAAACTTCCCCATGTTTACAGTATGAATGGCAGTACATGCATAGTCTTTTGAGCCAAGACTATCTTACCACCCTTCCCTCCTGAGAGTCTCTGAGTCAGCCCAGAGCACTGTGGGTACTTGTCTGTCTACACACAGTGATTATCTGAACCCATCATGCTTTACTCCCACTCAGATCTTACAGACAGAAAGAGCTGATGGTCAGATGGAATAAGAATGTCAGTTTCTGCATGTCCTTTCTGTTATCCCTGTGGAAGCCAGGATCAGGGGCCTTTATATGCACCTAGGCCTTGGGGTCTGTCTGTAGGAAAAGGTATGCAGGCATGTATAAGGCTTTTGTTCTGTAAGAAGGGAGAGGGAAGGACCAAGCCAGTCTGCATTGTGAGTAGGGTTGGTTGCTCAGCGTGCTTGCTGATGAGGTCTGTGGGACAGACGGTGAGCCTTCCCTGAGAGCCTGGCCACTGGTGTGGCCAGAGACTTTCAGCTCTGTGCCTCTCCTGGGGACAGGGGATTAAGGCTGAGGTGCCACCCCCTTTTCTTTTTCTACATTGTTCTACAAGCTTGATTTCAGAACATTTAAATACAAGTTCTGAGGGAGGCCTTGGGCAGCAGTGACCAGGAAGGTAAAAAGTATGCTTAGAGCTTGGAGTCCCTGTGGGCCCCGTGTAGATACACACACTGCAGAGGGCCCCAGTGCCCCTGGTCTAGTCATTTCTTGGTCCAGAAAGAAGGTGTCCACCAGTGTTCATCCTGCCCCATTGTCTCCAGGAGAGATGCTGCCCTACTGTGGCTTTCTGGGCTAAGTTTATTAATTCCTACCTGCCGCAGATTCCACTCTTTAACAGATATCACCACATCCAGTTCCCAGTAGGATGGGGGGATAGCTTGGAAGCTTTGACCTTCCTGCCCTGGTATCTGGGTATCCTCATGATGACAGGAGAGACAGACCAGAAGGGCTTGTTCTGCTCTGTTCCCAGGAGGCCAGTACCCTTCTCTGATCTATCTAGCCTCCTCCTCCTTGCCCTGGAAGGCCTGCCATTGCTATTTGGAAGCTGCTGTGTAGGCTGGGCGGGAAGAAGGGTCTCACTTTGCAAGATAGCATCTCCCGTTCTTGGAGCCTAGATTCTAAGGTACTAGATTCCTCATAAAAACCTAAATATCCTTGTTCTTCAAAACGTGGGGTTTGGAAGACTAGGCAGGTTTTCTGAGTCGAATTTGTTTTTCTGAGGGCCCTTCTTTAGTAAGTTTGCAAACCTCATAGCTGCTTTAAAAAAACAAGACTCAGGTTGCCAGCTGCCACGTGTCTTGGCTCTGTTCTAGGTCTCATCGCAGTTCCTTTGAGAGCTGGTTTTTGTTTGTTCACTTTGGAGGATGGGTGGATATGGTGATGAAGCAGTTGCTGAGGTCAGAACCTGAGCCTCCTACAGCCCTGCTGTGGCTCTTGGCGTTTTACTACAGTCCACGGGATGAGAGTCAGCAGAGAGCGCAGACTGTGGTGAGTGCCTGTACTGGGGGACCAGAGTGGAGGACTTGCAGGAGGGGCTCTGTAGTGGGTTTGTCTTTATTGAACCCTCAGGCACCTAAGCTCTGGGCACTTGCCAGATGTGGTGGTAATGTGTACATGTCCACTTGGGGTGAGCTTGCAGCCTGCGATGTTCTGTTACCACAGAGGCCCAAGACAAGAGGCTACCCCACCTGCCAGGCTGCTCCTGCCCTGGGCCTCTGTCCTCAGGGTTATTTGATCTGTTCTTGCTTCATGGCCTCAGCTGTCCTTTTGCTCTGTCACCTCAGCTGCCCTCGTTTACCCTTGTGCCTCACCACAGGGCTCTGTTCTCCAGGAGATGCCACACAGAGGGTGACAGCTGCTCTGAGGAGCACTGTGGACAGGCACAGACTGGGTCTTGAGCCAGTGTCCTCTCTCTCCCACCAGCATCCTGGCCAGTCTGCTTCAGTTTGACTTACTGCTTTCCTGGATCAGTCGGCCAGTCCTCACATTAGTAGCTTTGTTTAGACCTCTTACTGGGGTAATCACATGATGTTAACCACTTTGCTTCTGAAACAGGACTTGGTCATCTCCTAAATAACAGAGCGGCTAAGTACAGGACTGGGTAACTGTCCGTGGCAAAGGTGGTTGTTATTTTATGTAGAATATGATCATTATTGGAAGCCATGCCTTGATTAAAAGCCTTGGCACCTCTCTTTCAAACATTTACTTGCTGGATTTAAAAACTCTAATTGCCAATGCTTTTTCTGATCTTAATAATTAAAGGGAGCATGTTTCAGTATGTACAGAACAATGCTCCTGTGTTCAATGTTTCATTTGAGAAGCTGATCAGAGACTTGTACAATTTGTGTTTTGTTTGTTTAAAGGTTTGCATAACAGGGTGAAGAAGAGTCTTGGATTTTTTTTTTAAGAAGTTGAAATTTGAGAATAATTTATTTTGGATTAAATGAAACATTTTAAAGGAATTATCGTAATCTACTTATACATTTGCAGATTGCTTACCTGGTTCAAAATAAAGCCTTCTATTTCTTCCCTTTAAAATATCACATATAGAGTCCCATGCAAGCTCAAATGAGACAAAGTCACAGCACAGACATGGGGAAATGGATAAGAAATCCCAACACAACCTAAGGAACTTTTGGCAACTGATGGGTGCTAGGAAGGGGAGAGACAGTCTCTTACAGGGATGGGACTCATGGAAGGTTAACCAGGCTCCAGTGAATAGACCCACACTGAAGGACATTTGGGGACAGAAATCAGACTCTATAAGCCGTTTTATATGCGTGTGTGTATTTAAATTTAATATAATGTGACATATATTACATTAAATTGGGTGGGGGTAGTCAGGGGAGGTGTGGATAGGGGATGGGATATCTATATCATTGTTATATTGTATAAAAATCACAAAAATTAAACTTAAAAAAATTCACAATTGGGCTGATAAGATGTCTCAGATGGTAAAGACTTATCGCCAAGCCTGAGTTCAGTCCCTGTGACCCACATGGTAAAAGAAATGAATCAACTCCTGCAGGTTGTCCTCTGACCTCCATGTGTGCACTGTGGCACACACAGATGCACAGACACGCAAATAAAAATTTCTTTTAAAAACAGGATTTAGCCAGGTGTGGCAGTGCACGCCTTTAATCCCAGCACTTGGGAGGCAGAGGCAGGCGGATCTCTGTGAGTTCGAGGCCAGCCTGGTCTACATAGCGAGTTCCAGGTCAGCTGGGGCTACAGGGAGACCCTGTCTCAAAAAGACAAAAAAAAAAACCAAAAAAACCAGGATTTAATTTCTAGAAAGCTCTGCATTGGCACATTTTTCTATCAGCTACCTTGGATCTGAGAGTTTTGGTTTTTATTTAAATGTGTGCCTAATTCTTACTTGGCATAATTAGATACCTTAGATCAAAGCATATTAGAAAAAAAGCATATTATCTCACTTGGAGTAGTTTGGCATTATTTGTCTATTACTCTTTACTGGAAAGTTTCAGTTCTCAACTTGACACACCTGGGAAGAGAGAACCTCAATTGGAATTTCCTCTATCAGTTGACCTGTGGCCATGTCTGTGAGGCATTTTCTTGGTTGTTGAGTGATGTGGAACAGCCCAGACCACTGTGGAGGGGGCCATCCCTGGGCAGGTGGTCCTGGGTTGAATAAGAAAGCAGACTGAGCACAGGCCAGAGGATCAAGCCAGTAAGTAGTGTTCCTTTCTGGGCTTTGCTTCAATCCCTGCCTTCAGGTTCCTGCCCTGCCTTAAGTTCCTGCCTTGATTTCCCTCACAGATGAACTGTCCCTTGGAAGTGTAAGATGCAATAAATCCTTTCCTCCCCAAGTTGTTTTGGTCAGAATATTTTATCACAGCAACAGACAGCAAACTAGGACACTCTTCTTAGCTGAGTATTCAGAGACTGCCACACACGTTGTGATGGAAGCCAGAGCTTCCTATTATTGAAGTAGAGCCCTTCTCTCCTTGGTGCCTGACCTGAGGCACTGTTATGTGCTACACTCCAGGGAGCAAGTCTTCCGAAGTTAAGTAGTGATGCATATACCTTGTGCACCTAGGTTTGTGAGCTTTGATCCCTGGATGATCTGTGGGAACTTGAGAATAGGCTGAACTGTGTCACAGTACACAAGCATGGTGAGACTTGGAGAAGTTTGCCAATACTTTTCCTTTGCCTTACTTAAAAAGTGTAAGTCAGGGCTGGAGAGATGGCTTGGTGGTTAAGAGCATGTGCTGTGCTTGCAGAGGACCATGGTTGGGTTTTCAAGCATCCACATGGTGGCTAACAACTTTTCATAACTCCAATTCCATGGGATGCAACCTCTTCCAGCCTCTACAGGTATTATACTACATGGGTATACTTGCATGCAAGCAAAATACAAATAAAACAAAATTTAAAAAGTTTTTTTTTTTTATGTAAGTCATGCTAGGCATGGTGGCAAACACCTTTAATCCCAGCACTCGGGAGGCAGAGGCAGGGGGATCTCTGTGGGTCCAAGGCCAGCCTGGTCTACATAGCGAGTTCCAGGTCAGCTGGGGCTACAGGGAGCCTCTCTCTCAATAAACACAACAAAAAAAAAAAAAAAAAAAAAGTCATGGTCAATCACTTAGCTCCAAGAACAAGCAGTTACGGCATGGTTGTCTCTGCTGGCCATCCTTGGGATACAGGAATGTGGGATAAAGAACATACCTTTCCTGCTTAGGGTGTATATTGCCTAAATGAAGTCCTGCCCCTTTTTACATTATCTGCCAGCTGTGTGTCTCTCCTTGACTAACTGAGATTGTGTTTTATACAACTTTGACTTTGGCAGGGCCTCAAACCTTTAGATACTGTCATTCCACTTGTAGGAATCATGTTGACTTGGGCAGGGCCTCAAACCCTTAGATACTGTCATTCCACTTGTAGGAATCATGCTTTAGAAGCAGAGAGCCATACAAAGATTTATGTGCATGGCAGTCATCAAAGCACTGTTTATAATGGCAGAAACTAAAGTGGCCAAGCTCACAGGGGGTAGGTGTTGTCTAAATAAGTTGTGGCATGTCCCAACCATGAAATAGCGTTCTGCCAGGAAAAAATCCTATTACTGGAGTGTTTTATGGGTAAATTGCTCATAGTACATGTGGAAAGTGTAAGAGACAAATATAATAAATGGTATATTCCCAATTCATAAAACACAAGGAGCATTAACAGTGATTCTATTTGTATGACAGCATGATAGATCTTTTTTTTCCCTCTTCATATTTTCCATAGTGAGCATAAGTAAATTTTTATAATTTAGAATGATGAAGGTAATACTTTGAGAAAAATTAAAAATAAAAAGAAGGCTGATCTCTTTCTTTAGAAAAATTTACTTGTCACATAGAAGCTTCTGGGTGTGGAAGGTACTTGAAGGAAAAGTCCATCTAGGTCAAAACAGGAGGAAGGAACATTGGGGAATGCTAGACAAGGGCAGAACATCAAAAGCTAGTCAAGAAGAGAAGAGAGGTAAGGCTTTGCTTCCAATGTCCCCAGAGTCTGCAGACCCTGCCTGATGGCTCTAAAGGAGAGAAGGGGTAAGGCCTGCCAGCCTGGGAATACTGTGTTCCATGGAAGAGCCCCATGGCGCCTTTTCTTACGGTCTCCCTTGTGATCAGGAGAGCTCATACAGCACTCCTAGTGTGTTGCCATCTATGCAGCATTGAAAAGACCTGAACTTCCAGAGGGGGAAAAAAAATGGGTCTCACAGATCCATAAAATCAGTCATGGGAAATCTTAGAATAGACCCACGCATTCTTTCAGCAGTGATAGAATATAGCTGTCATGAGTCCCGTGCAGCATCTGGGTCTGCAGCTTTCAGTTCTCACTTTGTTTTGTAAGTCACAATTTGATGTGCCATTCTTGTAGCAAGCAGAAGTCACAGCATGAAATAAATATTTTTTATGCAAAAACAACCCACAGACTTAACAACAATTACCATTATTATGTGGATTCCACAGACTTGTGACCTTTGCTTGAGCTGTAAGCATGTATGAACAACTGTCCCAGTGTCTGAAACAAAACAACTACGCCTGTGTGTGTGTGTGTGTGTGTGTGTGTGTGTGTGTGTCCTTGCATGCCTGTATGTCCCCTCAGATAGCCCAGGCAGGGCAGCCTACATTCTTATCAGCACTGCCCAGCAGGGCCTGCAGCTATAATTGATTGTGACTGATGGTGAGGGAGTCCTCAAGGAGCCTTTTGTTCTTTGTCCCACAATAAGAAAATTCTGACTGCATTCTGCTGAGGACTTTTCATTTTAAAAAAAAAAGGTCAATTCCTGGCATGGTGCCCTGCTGATTGGTGAGCAAGATGAAGGACGTCAAGAAATTTTCATCACAACATTTGGGTTTGTATGGAGCAGTATATAAACTAGACAAGTAAACAAGCTTGGGCACCAGGCGCCTCCTCTTCCTGGGCTTGCTTCAGAGCATTGAGTAAGGCCTAGAGTCATGTCCTGCATCTTCTCTGCTAGCTCACCCTCTGAACCTGCATTGCCCAGGTGGAGCTGAGGGCAGTATTCAACCGCCTCATGATACTGTTAAGAAGTGACCCCCTCTCAGCCATGGATCTTCAGGCAGAGGCTGGTGAGAGCCCCAGCACAGACCCCACAGCCCCTGTGTGTGGACAGCTGGTCAGACGCCTCTTCCTCAACTTCCTGCTCTGGGCCCCAGAAGGTCACAAGATTGCTGAGGAAGCTGTCACCCGTGTAAGTTGCCCTCTTTTCTCAAGTCCCAGTTTGTATTTTCATTCTAACTAAAAGGTAGATTATCTAATGTGGTCTTTGAGAGCACATGCCCAGGATACTGTCCCACAGGGACAGAGGTCACAAGGCCAAACCCAGAGCCCACCTGTGCCATACCACCAGGTACATGGAGGCACAAGCATGCTCAGCGGAAGGGAGTGCAACCTTGCAGGCACATAGCACCAGGGTCCACAGTGAAAACTAGGTCTCCTGCCTCCCATGTTACAGTCACTGTCTTTCTCATCCTTGGAGAGAGATCCAGCCCAGTGACAATATGCCCTGAGCAGCCATGATGCCACTCCTTGCAGCCCACCAAAGGATTGATTTCAGAAAAGTCAGTTAATGTATTTGTTACTTTTCTTGTTGCTGTGATAGTATACCTGAGAAAAAGGAAGGAGTATTTATTTTGCTCCCAGTTTCAGAAGGTTCAGCCTGTGGTCATTTAGCTCCCTGATTTGGGGCTAAGGCAGAACATCATGACTTGGGTGGCAGAAGCTTTTCACCTGCACAGGAAGCATCCAGACATGAGCTACCCCTAAGGACTACCCCAGTGATCCATTTCCTCCAGGTAGGCCCTACCTCCTAAAGCTTCCAGATCATTCCAAAATAGTGCCATCTGCTGAGGAGCAAGACCCAGCATGAGTCTTTGGGGAAGACATGTCATGTCTAAACCATATCAGTTGGTTACAGAGAAACCCTTCGGAAGGGTGCACAGCACAAAGGGTGTGTAAAGGGTCAGGAGTGAGTCCCACTTACGGCACGGAACCACATATTAACTTTTTAAAAAAAAATTTATGTGTATGACTGTTTTGCCTGCATGTGTGTATAAGTGCACTCATGTCATATAATGGTTGCTCAGGCCAGAAGACGGTGCCAGATCCCCTGGAGCTGGAGTTACAGGTAGTTACAGTTAGTCATTGTGTAGGTGCTGGAAATGGACTGGGGTCCTCTGCAAAAGCAGCCAGTGCTCTTAACCACTAAGCCATCTCTCCAGCCCCTATGTAGTGGCTTTAAAAATGACACTAAAAACATGGGAAGCAAGAAAAAAATAGATAAATTGGATTACAGGAATATTAAAAACTTCTATGCATCAAAAGATACTATCAAGAAAGTAGAAAGATGATTCTGAGTGGGAGATAATATTGGGGTATAGTATATCTGGTACACGTTTAGTATCCTGTTAGATATGTGAATCCTTCTGACTTGATAACAGAGATAAACTACCTAACTAAAAGAGGGATAAAAGACTTGAATAGACACTTCTCCAAGGAAGGTGTACAGGTGAGCAGGACACACTTGAAGAGAAACCCAGCAGCTCTAGTCCTTATAAAGTCAGCCACAGCGAGACTGATGCCACATACCTCACAACAGATAGCTGTTAAAGAACAAGGGAAATGTGTATTGAGAATTAAAGAGATTAGACTACTCAGACATTTCCAGTAGAGAATGTTAAAAGGATGTGGCCACTCCAGAGAAGTTTGGTCATTCCTCACATAATTAAATATAATGTTATCATGGGACATAGTGATTCTACCCCCAGGTATCACCCGAAAGTATTAAAAGCAGAGGATTGAGCAGATTCTTGTATGCCAGGACAACAGCAGCACTATTCACTACCCAGAAAATGGACACAACCCAGGGGCTCAGGAATACATGATTGGCTAAATAAAATGTGCCCTGTTATATGTCTACCGTGAAATACTACTCGGTCTTAAAAAGGAAGGAGCTTCTGGAACATTCGTCAATATGGATGAACTTTGAAGGCTTTGTGCTGTGTGAAATAAACTAGTTACATACTATATGATTCCACCTATTTGGGGATAGAGAGATGTCTCAGCAGTTAGGAGCACTGGCTGCTCTTGCAGAGGACCCAGGTTCAGTTCTCAGCATCCACATGGTGGTCCATAACTCCAGTTCCAGGGGATCTGACATCCTCTTCTGATCTCGGTAGGCACTACACAATATGGGAGTACTTATATGCATGCAGGTAATACAGTCATACATAAAATTAAAAAATAAAATATGATTCTACCTATTTGAGCTCCTTGGAATAGTCTAATTCATAGACAGAAGATAGAACAGGTTCTCCACGAGTAGAGGGGTGGGTGAGGGGGAATGGGAGGTAAAGGTTGAACATGTACTGAGTTTCTGTTTGGGATCATGGAAACATTTTAGAGATAGGTGGTGATGGTTGTGCAACATCGTGAATGCATGGTGGCTCAGACCTGGAATCTCAGCACATGGGAGGATCGGGAATTAAAATCAAGGCCATCCTCAGCTAAATAGTGGGTTTGAGGCCAGCATGAGCTACATGGGACCCTCATGTAGCTAAAGAAAATAAAAAGTGAACCAAACATTGCTGATTCTGGGAGATTTCAACTTTAGAAAAATTTTTTTTTTTTTTGTCTTTTTGAGACAGAGTTTCCCTATAGTCACAGCTGGCCTAGAACATGTTATGTAGACCAGGCTGGCCTCGAACCCACAGAGATCCATCTGCCTCTGCTTCCCAAGTGCTGGGATTAAAGGCATGTACCACCACACCTGGCTAATTATGAAAAAATACAACTTGATGAATTTTCACAAACAAAATAAATTCATTCAGATAGCAACTAAATCAAGAAAAAGCAGATCCCAGAGCCTCCCTACCGTGGTTTGACTATGAACACGAATATGAGGAAGGGCCTGGAGAATGGTGACCGGACCTGCCAAGAACATGGGAAGAGCAGTGCCAGGGTGTCCTCCATCCAGCACAGCCCTGCCTGGCAGTGTCCACTTCCTCTGCTTGGGGGTGGCTAAGAGCAGGAGGGGACTCCCTGTCTTATAATAGGGCTTCTCAGGGCCCAGCCCCAGCACAAGAATATGTTCAGCAGTCTGTTGAGGATGTTCATAAGACACATTCTTACAACATAGATGAACCCAGAGAATATGAATGACATGAGCCAGACACAAAGACAAAATTTGCATGATTTCACCTTTATCTGAGAGCTAAAAACATGTCCATATAACCTGGGGTCAACAGCCAACTTCCCCCTGCTAGCTTCTCCCTCAGTGAAGATGTTATGCTGGCATGTACACCCTGATGTAGTATGATAAATCATCACATCATCTTCACGGGCTTTCTGTGTTGATGTGATAAAATACCCTGAGAAAAGCAACTTAAGGGAGAAGGTTTATTTTGGCTCACAGTTACAGGGTACAGTCCATCATGGTGGTTGCATCCTCACTTTACATCCTCAGCCAAGAAGCAGAGCCATGAAGGTCTGTACTCAGTTCCTTTTCAGCTTTCTGTTTAGTCCAGGACCCCAGCTCATAGAATGATGCCACTCATATTGCAGTGGGTCATCCCACCTCAATTAACCTAAGCTTACCAACCCTTCACAGGCATGCCTAGATCCCAGTAAGCTGAAAATTGAAATTGACCACAACTTCCTCCCCAAAACTGATAGCCCAGGTCTCATCAAAGGAAAAACATCAGACACACCCTAGTAAACAGACTTTGTACAGAATTCTTGACCAGGCCCTCTTAAACTGTCAGGGTCATCAGAACAGGAGCTCCAAGGATCCTTCATAGCCAAGAGCCAGAGGAGTCAGGAAGGTGACAGTAATGTATCCTGGATGAGATCCTGTGAGAGAAAAAGAACAGAGAGAGACTGGGGGCCAAAGTGAAGCCTAGACTTCAGTTAGTAGCAGTGCAGTGGTACAAGTTCATTAGTGTGGTACACGTCCTGTACCAATGCCGGCAGATCCTGGGACACAGCATGGGTAGGTGGGAACTTCTGCACTGACACTGAATCTAGTTATTGAAAAGTTGACAGGACAGCAAGCACTTCTGAGATCCCAAAGTGTTACAATTTTGCCACTCAATTCTGATGTCTTGCTCGTGCTCACATCTGTGGACAGAGCATCAGCCCTGCGGCTGGGTTATATGTCCTCCAAGGTTACATACTCCCTGATCCATTCCTGTCCTGTCACCCTCACCTACTGGAATTAGCAGGGAGTGTCAGTGGCCCTGGCCTTGCTTGCAGTGTGAAAAGGACCCAAGCAAAAGCCCTTGGAGACACCATCGCTCTGCTTGGTACTCTAGGCACATCTCTTTCTAATCTTGGGAAATAGTCCACATTGGAGATGAACCACACACTCCTGGCTCTTCAACAGCCAAGCTGTGGCTAGGGGCGCTGGACCTTGCACAAAGCATGCTGGCTTCCTGCACCATGCATGCCGCTTACTTTGGTTCAGCTCTGTACCAGCCACTTATTAATGGTGCTGATCTAAACCTGGGACTGCAGTAGCATGGAAACCCTAGAGTCCTGTCCTTAAACTTCCAAGTTACTTCAACTACCGAGAATAAGAGGAGAAACCCAGATAAAAGGACTCTTCTCCAGACACTGGCTTCCTCCAGTTGGTGCTCCATCTGGGCCTCTCAGAGCCACTGCAGCCGGCAGACCACAATATCCTTGTAGATGCTGAGAACTGTCATAACTAACAAGGAGGCTTGGACACAGTGGTCCTGACAGCAGCCTCTCGCTAGGGTCTCTTCACCTCCTTCCAGCACTCCATAGCTGCTGTCTGCTGCAAGCCCTGAGCTGGGCATGGCTGGCCTGAGGACAGTAGGGGCCAGATGGTAACTTTATGGGGACAGCACTTCTATATCAGCAGCTTAGGGGTCACCTAAGCAGATTTAATGTGACTCATAAGGCTGGCCTGGGGTCTGGTCTCTGCTCTCAGCAACTTCACCTTTGGAGAGCTGGGCTGGCTCCAGGCCAGCAGGGTGGTGGTCTGTAGAAGGCAGCAGTCCCAGCCCATCAAGCCCGCATCCTACGCTAGCAGTTGGTTCATCCAGACATGGGACCTGTTCCTTCCAACACCACCTCAGGCCCTTCTTCCCGTAGCCAGTGGTTGCTGACTTGTCCTTTCCCAGGCTCCTTTCCTGGCTTTGGCTTCCCAGTTGTCACCACCCTCCAAGG